GCGCGCAACGCCAGCGAGCGTCGCGTCGACGCGGCCCGCGACGATAAGCATTGCGTCGATGCGGACCACGCCGATGTTTGTCGAGTCGGCGCATGCCACACCAGCGAGCGTCGCGTCGGCGCGCGCAACGCCGATGAGCGTCGAACCGACGCTGTCCAAAATGACGCGCGTCGCGTCGATCCGGACCGAAACCGTCGAGTCGGCGCATGCCAGCGCGCGTCGGGGCGAGCGTCGAGCCCACGCGCAGAAACCAAATGGGCATCGAGTCGACGCGAAGTACAAACCGGGCGAGCGCGGAGTCGACGCGCCCGCGCTGCCGAGTGACCGCCGAGCGCGCGGATCGCATGGCAGGTTGAAATCAGGTGACAACACGTAGCACTTCGAGAGCAACGGGAAGATACTCTCCAGGTTTTTCGCGTCGCAGTCAAAGATTTCGCGAGATCGCGCGGGAGGCGCGGCAACCAGCCAGCGCGGGCCGTCGCAGATGCTCGAACGATGGCCCACTTGGCCAGTCAACCACAAACAGCACCCCCAATCATCGACGCCGAAGCTCGCGCAGCCGTTGAATTCCACGCGGCCCAGAGCGCCAGGGGCCAAGAACAGGAGCAGCAACGGAGACAGAGTAGCCACGCCCATCTCTATGACCAGCTCACGGCACTGGGCCAACGACTGAACATGGTTTAAACCCAACAGGAGAGCAATAAGCTAGCTCATCAATTAACAGCGCGATCGAGCGCCGCATGAACTCCGGACAGAAGCTGGCGCCCTCGAGCGCAACAGCTCGCTGAAAAAAAGCGCACGGGAGCATGTCAGAAGTCAGATGGCAGAAATCGCAATCACAAAAAATGGCATAATGATGAGCGACTCTGCCCTTCAACAGCGGCTAAATCACGCGGGCGGTCAAGCCTTTGCAGATGACGGGATCTCCTCGCGCGAAACTTCGCTAGTGGACCTTCCAGGCCAGAAACAGGCGCGGAAGACTGAGGCATGCGGACAAACAGCTGCCGACTACAGCAACCGGCTCCAGAATCACATCTAGATGAGCGCCGCGAGCTTGAGCGGGGCTGAAATAAGGCGGGCGCAGAACGTGCCAGGTTGGACAAGATGATCGGCGCGGTCAACAGAGGGGCGGGTGACCACCGAAAAGAATCGGCGGGACGTTTCTCTGCGATCTGCTAGACAGGCATCGACAGTCACGGGGCACGCGAGCCCAATAACGACGGCGCCGCAACCTGCAACAGCGTCACCTCGGCCGCGCGAACTTCGCGGAGTGGGCAGCAGCTGAGACCCGGCCTCCAATTCACCAACGCAAGTCACCCTCGCGCCCCCGGCGCGCGAGGCTGCGCCGGGAAAGCGCGGCGGCGCGCCGGCGCGCGGCGCTGGGGCATTCCTACGCTAGACACGCCGAAGACAGCATTTGCCGAAGACAAAGTCAGCAGAGATACGGCGTCTACGCCGCGCCCAAACCTGGGAACCCCGACCGGCAAGAACGCGCCGCGCCTATGACGGCCCAGCGGGCCCGATCATTTATCCAAGGCGAACCGCAGATGCGCGCGTCGCCCCCGCCCTCCTTGGACGAGCACCGCGTCGCGGGCGGCGGATCGCCCAGTCGCGAGTGGCAGAGCGCCGCCGCGGATGCAGCTCGGAGACCGCTGAGCAAAATGAAGCACAAAAATCCAAACATATTGAGTGCCGAAGCCTGCTTGCTGCGCCGCACTCCCAGCAGTGGTGGGAGCAGGATATGCGCGTGGCGATATTTGCCTCCGGCAGATTAGATGCACGCTTCAGTTGGCCTCGCGCGTTTGAGGGCGCCGCATCTACGATCGAGCCCCTTGCGGACAGTGGCGAGTTCGGCGCGCTCGACCTGAAAATATTCGCTTCGCGCAGAGAGCGCGCGCGTGGAAGGGGGAAGCTAGGACCGACGGCCGGCTCGCCAAATGGCGGCAGGTCCTCTATACGATCTTGGATTGGCTCAGTTTGGCGGAGCAAACGGTTGCATCTGTACTTCCGTTTACCGCAACGCTGTCAAAATGGCAGACAACAATCTCAGCGAGTTCATTTATGTCTGAGACTACGCCCTCCTGGGGATGAAAGCCCTACCTGGGTCGCCCATCCTTGAACCCCCGTCCAGACCGTAGACGGAACGCCGTCGCGACCTCGCATGACATGGGGGCATGCCCAAACAAAAGCTACGACTTGCTTTACGATGGGCGCGCCTGACTCCAGGAGACAGCGCCTACAAACTGCGCGCGAGGAGACGGCGGCAGCGGATGGGGGCTTCTCAGCCGCGTCCGCAAGTAAGCGAGCGCGCAGCGACTGCGCCCGGAAAGGCGCGCACAATTCAGCGGGCCGCTAGCGGCATGGCCCAAAGCATTTAGAGAAAAAGATTACGGGACCGACTGGTAAGTCGTGGGCTTGCAAATCACGCGAAGAGAATGTCTTAACAGGCCAGCGCCCAAACCGCGGCGCGAGGGCGCGCGCGGGGCGACGCGATGGCATGGCAAGGGCGCCTTAGCGCGCAGGGATTAGCACGCGTGGGCAACGGCGGAGACAAGGTTCGAAAGCTTCACAACACAACAGGGGGACACCCCATAATGCTCGCCCTCAGGAGGCCGTTCTGGCCCAGATGACGAAGCACCGAATAGTCCACTTCAGCCCCCAAACGGGGACAAGAATAACCCGGCGATCCCGCGACAGGGGGCGCGGGGGGGCAGTTCCGTGCGAGGGTCGAGTTAGGGCGGAGGTAGGGCGCGGCTGCCGAAGCCGGCTCGCTGCTGCGAGCGGTCGGCTTCCTAGCGACTCGGGGCGAGGGCGCTCGCGCGGGCTCGCAGCGGCGCGCGTTCCTGGCGGCCGAAGCCACCGCTCTAGATGTCCGCTCGCCCCCCCGCGCCACTCTCCTTCCAGGGGGGGGCGGAGGGGCGCGGCGCGCGAGGGGCGGAGGAGCAGGCGCGCGCGCCCCTGCGACAGGGGCACCCGGCGCCGAGCACCATTCGAGGTCGTTGATTCTTGCGATGGGGGGGCCCGACGCTGAGCATTGAGCTGGGCCGCTTGCCCGCGCGTCGGGGGCGCCCGGCGCCGGGCGCCCGCCGGCGCGTTTTTCTTTCTGCGCCGAGGAAGCCCGACGCCAGGCGTTCGCCGGGGTCTTTCTCCGAGGCGCCGGGGAAACCCGACGCCGTGGCGACCCAGTCTGTTGCGACGCGCCGCGATGTCCGTGCCGCTCTGCGCCCGCAACGACACCTGGTGTCTTCATGGCGATGTAAAAATGTGTCGGTTAGCGCCTGGGCCGTCGACGGTAAGTCTCGGCGGCGCGGGGCTCGGCGCCATCTTTGGCCGCGCTCTTTGCGGCCCTTCGCAATGCATTTTAGGAGTCGTAGACTCGGCAGGCACGCGGAATGCATTGGCGCCCGACTGATGATCGAGATTCCAGCATCCCACGCCTGGTCATTCCTGCGCGCGCCCCTGAAGAGGCGCCGCCCGCGGGGCCGTGGAGCCAACGTCATGGTCTTAACTGAGGGCAGGCGTTCCCGGCCCTAAGCCCTCCCAGAAAAGAGAGCGCAGGGGCCGAACGGCGGCATTTTGCTTCGGGGAAACTTGATGATGCGAGGTTGGTTCTGCGCATCTCGAACTTCTCAGTTTCGCCCTTGGATTTTTTCCCCCGTTGCCGCATGTTTCTTTTTGGACCTTTCTGTCGCCTCGTTCGTTCGCGTCTCTCGTCGCTCTTCCTTGCGCGAGTGGATCCGCCTTTCAATGTTGTTTTTGCCCATCGATGCATCTTTGGGGCAATGGACTTCGCCTTTGTGCGAACAGCCTTATGTCTTGTACTTCTCGCCCACGCACTCCAAAGAGTGGGTCGTCCACCTGTGGGGCGACTCCCGCGGAAGGCGTGCACCCACGTCTTCAAGACATCCTACAGTAAAAGCATATCACAGTTCAGGGGCGCGAATTCCTTTGGGCCGCCTTAGGGCGCGGTCGCACCTCCTCCGCACGAGGAGGGGCGTTTTTTGTTCTGCCCCCCCCCCCCCTTCACCCGACAAATCCCGCCCGCTTTAGATGGGCCCTGGATATGTGTCCTTCCTTCCCGTTCTTGGGCTGGGTCCCGCGGTAAGTCGGACTTCGGAACCCCGTTGTCAAAAGGGTTTTTAGGCGGCGCGCGCGCGTGGGCGCGCGTGCGTTCACCCCCCATTTTTGGCGCGCGTTTAATTTTGACGGTGACGCCGTTTGGGTTTGGGGGGGCCGTGGGTCCGTCTTGGTTGTTCCCCTCTCCGCCTTCCTTCTCCCCCTCCCTCTCCTGCTGTTGCCGCTTCTGCCGTTCGCGGTACTTTTGCCGCTCTAATATGAAAATGAGGGAGGGCCCACGGGCACCGTCGTCGCAATCGTCGTCGCCGCCGCGAGGTGCGCTTGCCAACGGTTTCACGTTTACCCTCTTCCCCCTTTCCAGTTTGTCTTCGCGAGTCACGGATGGACGCAGGTTCGAAAATCGTTGGAACATGGTTGCCTTCAAAAGCGAACCAGGGCCCTTGGGTGGAAACCAGGGGTGTTTGGCCACAAGGTCAATAAACCCCTTGTCCATACATTGTTTTTTTTTTTCCCCATCAGTCATCATTCACCGTTTCTCCATCAACCGTCCTTCCATCGCTTCACACATAGTCGATTAACCTGAACGTGCGAAGCGCGCGGGGTTATGGTGCGCACGCGTGTGCATGTATAAATACGTGTGCTTGTTTGTGTACGTGTACAGTGGCACTACGTACATATACGTGGCCATTGTTGTACATCCTGATATGCACGCACAGTCGTATGTAGCCAAGCATCGGTTTAAAATGGTCGCCTCGGCTTCACTTTTGTTCCTTCATGGATTCATATTGTTTGTTCCTCCGTCTATGTCTGTTTTGTCTCCATTGATTTCACGTCCTTCCCCTTTTTCCCTCCGTGCCTCCCTTCCCCCTCTCCATCTCGCCCCCTCGCGACATTGTGGCGATTGAAGACAGTAAGTTGGCCAGGTGTTCCGATGATGGTCGCGGCGCATCCGCAGACAACGGTCGCAGCGCATCCGCAGACAGTGGTTGCGGCGCAGCCGCAGCAGACCGTGGTCTACGCCGCACCGCCCACGTACGTGGAGTTTGTCCCGGCCTCGGAGCACAACCTTTGCAGCGGATCTCGCGGTCAGGGGGCCGCGCTGTGGGCCTCCGGCGTAGTGGTTGTTTTGGTTTGTTTGGTTTCGTGCTTGGTCTTTTGTTTCTCGCGACGCGGGCCCGCACACCGCTCGACCCGTGTTTCCTTTGGGGTTGCTCTTCGAAAGCTTTGAGGCCCGCAAGCAGTTTCCAATGGCCCAAGGTCAGCAATGCAAGCCGTTGCGATCGTTTTTTGGCCGTGTCCCCTTCCCAAAACCCTTTCAAAAAGTAAACTTGTCCTTGCAACAGGGTGCGACTTCGGTGGTGTCGGCCAGCGGCACTGAGCCCAGCCCTGAGAACGCCGCCACAACCGCCAGGGCTATCTTTGTTCCTTTATGTCTCTCTCCCTCCCTCTCTTTTTCGTTATCTTTCTCTTTCTCTCGCTCTCTCTCTCTCTCTCACACACACTTTTCCTCTCTCTCTCTCTTTCTCTCTCTCTCTCTCTCTCTCTCTCTCTCTCTCTCTCTCCCTCTCTCTCCCCCCCCCTCCCCTCTTATCCCCCTTCCCCCCTCCCTCATCCCTTCTCCCTCCTCCCTCCCTCCTTTTCCTCCTCCGCCTCCTCCTCCTCCTCGTCTTCCTCCTCCTTTTCCTCCTCCTCCTCCTCCTCCTCCTCCTCCAACTCCTCCCCCGTCCCTCTCTCCTTCCGTCCCTCCCTTACCTCCTCCTCCTCCTCCTCCTCCTCCTCCTCCTCCTCCTCCTCCTGCTCCTCACTGTGCGACGTCGTCGTCGTAGGCGTCGTCGTCGTCGTCGTCGTCATTGTCGTCCGCGTCGTTTGCCGGCGGCGGCGACGACGACGTCGTCGTCGACGTCGTTGTCGTCGTTGTCGTCGCTGCCCATGGGAGGGTGGGGGGACGGGTGTGGGAGGGGATTGTACCATCCTCGAATAATTCTCCTGGGGGCGGGATTCCCTGAACCTCTCCGAATAATTTTCGGGGGGGGGCGATGCTCCCGACCTTCCGAATCTTTGGGGGGGGGACACGGCCTGGGGGGGGGTTTAGGAGAAGGAGGCGTGCCGCCTGGTTTCCAACCCCTCCCTCGGGATTCCTGTCGGGGGGGAGCAGGGAGGAGGAGGAGGAGGAGGAGGAGGAGGAGGAGGAGGAGGAGGAGGGGGGAGGAGGAAGGGGGAGGAGGAGGGGGGAGGAGGAGGAGGAGGAGGAGGGGGGGTCTGGTTTTTTTGACCCCCTCCTATATAGACTTGCTCCAGGGCAGCGACGGTGGACCGGGCTCCCTCGTCCGGCTCGATGCCGACTTCGGCTGGCCTGCTCCGATTCGATCCCGATGTTTCTCAGGAGGGGAAAAAACACACAGACACAATTAATCGTCGATTCCCAGGAAAATATGCAAAAATATGGGAAGTGGGGTGGAAGACAGAAACCCAGAAAATATGGGAAAATATGGGGGATAATTTTATTTGTGTGTATTTATTTGTGTGTTCCAGTTCCCCTTCAGTTTCGGCAGACCAGTGCGGACCCCGGAGTCCGGAGCCGAAGGAACACGCAGGGACTGAGAGCATCATGTCATTCTGTGACGTCTCGTGCGCACCGTGCCGCGCTAGCGTCTCCCGAGGCGTCGTCGACCTTCGGCCCAAGAACGGCACGGTGCATAGATTTTCGGCCCCCACGGCCAGAAGGCTATGCACCGTACGGCGTTGGAGCCAGACCTAGACGACGTCCAAGCATGGCACGGTGCATGGACGCTGTTCTCGTACAGTGGGGGCCCATGCCAAGAAAAACCCTGCTTGCCTCCAGGGTGCCCTGCGTTTCTTGGGTTTCGATGTTTCTTCCATGGAAAGCGTGACGTTCCCACACCAAAAATCCATTGACGCCCTGGGGTCCCAGGATTGGGTTTCTTGTGGAAGGTTTCTTGTGGACTGGTTTCCACTGTGCTGTTGTCGGAGTCTTAGGGCCTGGCCAGCAGCGTTGTGAGCGCGTCCTGCCAGTGCGGTCGCCCTCGCGCGGCGCGGGGGCTTCCCGAGGTCCCGGCGGTGCCCGCCGCGTCCTACGCGGGAGGCCTGTCCCCGCCGCAGCCTCCGCCCTTGTCGTCGCCGCCGCCGCCGTCGTCGTCGTCGCCGTCATCGTCGCCGCCGTCGTCGTCGTCATTGCAGTGGTCGTCGTTGTCGCAGTCGTCGCCGTTGCCGTCGTCGATGCCATCGTCATCGTGGCCGTGTTGTCGTCGCCAGGCTCTTCCCTGTACGTACTCCTCCCTCCGCCCCCCTCCTGCCCTCGCCTCCCTCCCTCCTCGAGCGCGGGTCAGCGGCGCCCCCCCTCCCTCTTTCGCACTGCTGCCGGGCAGGCGTCGGGCAGGCGCGGCGCCCCGGCAGGAGCAGTGGGGTGTGGAGCACCGGGCGGCCCCGACACGCTCAGCAGTTCGCTCCTGCGCGCAGGGTAGTTGCCAAAGTCGGGGACTCTGGGGCCAGGTGGGGGCTTCCACCAGGCGCGGAGAGGTTGGCGCAATCCATCGACGGTGGCCGCAGAGGTCTTAGGGAGGCCACGCTCGCCGTAGGGGGTGGGGGGGGAGGCGGGGCTCAAGGGCCTCTCCCCTGCCCTTAGGAACCCAGTCTGCCCGACCTCAGTCACACAAAGGGGACCTTCGACCACCGAGACGGCCGAAGCGTTCCCAGGGATAGACTGGGGAGTCGGCGGTGGGGTTCCACAAGGCATGGGGAAGTTTGACCCACCCAGACGGTGGCTTCGCTTGTGGCACGCAGGCTCTGCGCTCCGGCCTGCCCCACCCACCCCCACCGGCTAGCTGGATTCTGTCGGCGACTGCGTGCGAGCGAAGGAGGTGGCTGAAGTTGAGCAGCTCGCTGTGCAATTCGCGACAGGTCGAGCTCGAGGGGCAAAACGTGCGGCTGGTGGCCTGTATCACGGGAAGAAAGACCACCTGGACCCGACAATTGGCGTTTATTGAACGGCCTTGGGCGTCTACTAACAGCAGCCCCCCCCCTGTTCGACTACTTCTTTGGGTGCGTTTACTAAACGGCTTCGCTTGTCGGGGTGGTTATGACGGGTGTGGATGTGTTGCTTTCCACTGTAGCCGCTGGGTGCGGTGTGGTTGCTGTTTGCGGCAGTCTCGGCCATCGCCGCGACGCCGACGGAGGCGCACCCCTCTGCTCCCGCCCGCGCCCGATCTCGCCCCTCCGTCCCGCCGCCACGAGAGCGGGTAAGGGAAGGCTGGTGGGATGAAGAGTGGGGTGGGCACGATGTCGAGAGGGTCGAGCCAGGAGGGAGGGAAGGTTGGTTGAGGTTCTCTCACCAGTGGCGGTCAGCATGGCATACGTGGGTGAGGAGTTCACCATGGTGGACCGACTGCGTAGCATAGCATGCCGATGAGGTCGGCACCGTGGTACAGAACGTGATGCGAGCGCCGTCGCATGTGCTAGTAAGAGGGGCGGAAACGCTGCCGTCGCCGTGAGAGTAGTAGTTGGAGACTGCGATGGATGCCCAGCGGTTGTTGCTGTTGTAAGGCCAGTGAGTGCGGTGGCGTGCTGCAAGAATAGTGCCGAGGTTGGAGATGGGAAGGAGTAGCTGGTGGTGTCAATCTTCGTCGTAGCTGTCGATCGCCTGCTGTCGTTGGAACAAGATGTTTGGTGTCGTTGGAGCAAGATCGTCTGCTGTCGTTGGAGCAAAACTGGTAAGCTGAGTGCTAGGAATGACGCGCTGACGGGCCTCCGTTAGGCAGGTCCCATCTTGGCATGAGGGCGGTGTACGCCTCGTCTGCTTTTGTCGTAAAGATCAGGGGGGAGTACCCGATTTCTCGGAGAAGATTGGGTTGATAGGCCAATCGGGGTGGGCAAGTGTAGGCCAGACCAGGCATGGGCCTTCCGCTTTGTCGGCAGCGTCCCCGTCCTCGGCTGGGTTGACAGCAGGCTTGCACGGATGTCGCAGCCTGCAGTTGTCGCGTCGTGTTTCTTCTTGGCAAAGTCCATGTTGTCGCCACCGCTGGGTTCGCCTCGAAATTCTGGTCAGAACGCACCCTGGGAGAGGTCCGGGGAGTAGCGGTATCGGTCCCTTTGGTCTCCCCAACCATTTGTTCGGAATTCGTCACGTTATTCCGCAGGCCACATGCGCGCCGACAAACGGGTACCGTCCGTGTCGACCAGCGCCGTGTTGGCCACACGGCTGCACCAACCCTCGTGAGCGCCGCCGCTCCCCAGCCACTTCTGCTCGGGCAGCCCGCTCGTGACGACTCGGCCCAGCCCTCGCCCCTCGCAGTGCTCCGCCCTGCAGCCGACCCAGATGGCGCGGTGCGTTCCGGCCGGCAGCCTCGCCTCCGTCCGCCCGGGAGGGACCTCACGCGGCTGGGCCGCAGACGCCGAGCACGCGGGTGGGCACCGCGAGGGTCCCGGCAGCCGGCTCTCGGATTGCCTCCTGCGCTTCCCCGTGTGCGGGCCTGAGGCGTCGCGCGGCGGCAGGGGTGAGGAGCCCACGCAGCCGGAGGGCAGCGCTGGCGAGACCGACGAGGATTTGGGCATACGGCGGCGGCATTGGAGAAGGAACGCCTCCCTGGGGTCCAGGCCCCAGCGCGTTCCTGATTGCTTCAAGGCGAGGTGGGTGGCCCACGTTGGGCCGCCCATCGGTCGCGAGGCCCTGGGTTCCTTGTCGAAGGCATCCTTCTCCAAACCTCCACCGTATAGGCCTCCCAGATGGGGGTCCGAGTGTACTGGGTCGGAGGCTCGCGCCGAAACCGCCGGCGCGTCGGCGGTGCGGCTCGATGTGGAGGCTGCCCTTCCCCACGCCGACTGCGCCGAAGCTCGAAGAAGCAAGAACGCAATAGACTTCAGTCGGGCGTGTTCCTTTCCCCTACAGGGGGAATATGAAAGTGGTCAGATAAATACTCTGGGGACGATTTTTTGCATCTCTCGAATATTCGGGAGTATTTGTTCGACTATTTCTGATTTTTCGTTCAAAATCCGCCTGTGGGGGGACAGGCCTGACTTAACCATAAAAAGATTCTGGCAGTCCGCGCTGATCTCTTCGATCCGCGCTGGGCCCCCCCGGGCGGCGCCTCCGGCGCCGCCCCCTGGCGCGCCAGGGAGGGGGGTCCAGCGCGGATCCAAGAAATCCGCGCGGAGCGCCACAATTTCACGTTTATGACATGTGTCTCTCCTTCTAGAAGCATCGCCGATGTCGCGATGCATCGGCGATGCGGCGCGAGCCTCCGACCCCCAGCTGCCCGGAGCCCGTCCAGGGAGGCCTCTCGAGGAGCGGCCGCCGCGGGGCTGCGAGCGCCCTCGCGGGACGTCGGTGGTGTACCACGGGCGTGCGTCGCACCCGCGGCTCGGCACGGGCATCCCCCTGCAGCTGGAGCTCGTCTCGGACGGGCGCCGCGTGGGCGGCACGTGGTGCATGCTTCGCAGGAGCGTGGACGTCGTCGCCGAGAGGACCGACGCGTGGCCCCTGGTCGTGCGCTCCTTCGGCGGCGGCACCAGCGCCGAGCTCTGGGGGAAGGAGGTGGCCCCGGGTGGCGTTGCTGGCGAGTTCTTCTTCGGTGCCGAGGGTGGCGGCTCCTTCGAGCTCCAGGAGTGCCTCCAGGTCTCCGTGTCGGCCGAGTCCGTCGACTGGGGCTCGTCCAGCCCCTGCGGCTCGTCGAGCGCGGAGTCTTCGGTCGTCCCGACCATGCAGGAGCCTGTTGGCTACTACGGGATGAAGCGCTTGGTTCAGCCTTCAGGCACGAAGGCTTCTGCGGACAAGATCGACTCCAAGCTGATCTTCACTTCGGAGGCGCATCTCGCCGAGGCACTTGTCGAGGTCCTCAAGAAGCACCCCAACGGCATCGACCTCGCCCAGCTCAAGCGGGTCATCCACAGCAGCTCTGGCGTCTGGGTCTCCGAGGCGCTCCTCGGCTACAAAAAGCTCCGCGATCTCGTCAGGTCGCCCACGATGTCCAAGGCGTGCTGGTTCCAGAGCGTCGGCAGCTGCTACCGCGTGTTCGGGTACCCATCGGCGGGCCAGGTGGCGGCCTGCGGCTGATCTGCTCCCAGCCTCAGGGGCCAGCAGCTCCGAGCAGGTCTGGTAGGGTTCTGTGGTGAACTCCGCCAGGGGGCAGTCCCGCCGACGGTCGCGACTTTATGAGCTCCCTCAGCTTGTGAGCGCGAGGCGGAGGATTCAAGACCAATTGTCATCGCTCCCAGGAGTGGGATTGCCAGGCATGCCAGTTCTTTTGCGTGTGCTCGCCCTCTTCGGTTCTATATCTAGTGGCCCTCGGCCCATCCCGCCACCGTGCGTGGGTTGTGGGTCGGAGTTCTCAGGGATGCTTCTTGAGGTCTCTTCGGAGCGCTCTTGGGGGCCTCTTAGGGGCAGTTTTGGTGCCTCTTGGGAGCCTCTTGTGGGCCTCTTGGGGCATCTTGGGACCTCTTGGGGACCTCTTGGGGCCACCGGGGGGCCCTCGGGGCCGAGGGCTCGAAATGTCCGTTCAGGTCCCCCATCTGGGCCCTCTCTTGGGGCATTCATTTGGGCATTTTGGGCCGTCTTGGGCGCCTCTTGGGCCGTCTTGGGCCCTCTTGGGCCCTCTCGGGGCGATCTTGGGGGCCTCTGGGGCCGTCTGGGAGCGTCAATCACGTACAAACATTTGAGGGACATGAGTGATTCTCGCTTGTTGGAACCCTCTGGGGAGGCCTCTTGGGGCGTCTTGGAGGCCTCTTGGGCCATCTGGGGCCCATCTTGAACGTCTTGGAGCGATCGTTCGGCGGCTCGGGGCCCTCTTGGACCGTTTTGGGGATCACTTGGGGCCCTCTTGGACCGTCTTGGGTTTTTTTTGCTACAAAAAAGTCACGAGAAGCCACGACAGGACGCGCCACGCCCCAGGAGATTTGGCAATTTGGACTCTGGTGAGGCTCAGAGGATTGGGCAAAGGACCTGAGGACACGCCCACTCACCGTGCCCAGCGGCATGGTAGCGGATATATATATATATATATATATATATATATATATATACATCTGCGCACACACATACCTACCTACCTACCTACTTACCAACCTACCTACCTATCTACCGACCTACCTACATACATAAATTTCAGGCTAGAACCTAAGACGTGGCCCCCACCCTTTAGAGGAGGCTTCAGGAGTCCTGAACCCTAGAAGTCCCTAGAGCAGTGACGATACGCGAAGCGCCAATGAGTGGGAATCGCGCAGCGTCTCGGAATAAACTGTCGGTGCCAGCTCTTTTCCAGGGGCCTCGATAGAGATCGAAACAATCACTGTCACAGTTGCGTGTATCAACTACGAGCGGTCGACCGCTGCGAGCTCCCTCCGAACAGTCATCTTGAGTCAAGCGAATGTCTTCGCACAGTGCACACACCGCTGAAACTTCTGCTCGAACCCTGAGGCAACGTCCCAAGATCGAGCGAGGGAGGGCTGGGCCGCAGGCAGCGAGGAAAAAGGGCTCCAGGGGGCGTCTCTCACGCGCCCGGTGTAGCAAAGCTGACATCTGCCCGTACGAGTGCTTGGAGCCCAGGGTGGGTGCCGTTGAGCTAAAACGTGATGGAATTGCAGCACATCCCTCCCCTGGGCCCCTTCGCTGACCTACTGAAAATCAAAGTTCACAGACTCACTCACTCATGTGGGCTTTTTTTGTTCATTGTTTTGCCAATCGGCGTCGACCCTCGCACCCCCCCCCTCCCTCCCCCATGATCTTGGCCGTTTTTTGGCGCCTGTTTCGATCAGGTAAAGCCTCCCCTCACAGGACGCACTGTCTCAAACAGTCGCACTAAGCAGAGATTCGGAGCCAGACCCCCCTCCACTCCCCCCCCCTCTTTGCTTAATGTCGAGACGCCGAATATAAAAACGCTCACCATTTCAGGCGCGAACCTGAGACGGGGTCCCCACCCTTTAAAGGAGGCTACATGAATCCTGAACCCTAGAAGACCCTAGAGCAGTGACGAGACGCGAAGCGCCAATGAACGGAAAACGCGCAGCGTCTCGGAATAAATTGTCAGTGCCAATTCTTTTCCAAGGACCTCGATAGATTGACACAATCATTGTCACAGATACGCGTATCAAATAAGAGCGGTAGACCGCTGCAAACTCCCTCCAAACAGTCATCTTCAATCAAGCCAATGTCTTGCCACTTACACACATCGCTGAAACATCTGCTCGAGAGGCAACGTCCCAAGATCTCACTCACCACTACGCGCCTCAAATCGCGGTCGAGTTGTCGTCTGTCTTTGCTGGGGCTGAGCGGTCCTCGGGCTCGCTGCTGCTGACGAAGGTGCCGTCTCTCGCCCCGGGGTCGCCAGACGGCGGCGACGGCGGCGGCGAAGTACAAGCAGGGCTCCGGCCTCCAGCCTGCGGTCTGAAAGCCCAAGTAGCCCAGCGTTGGCTCAGGCGCCACACCCGAACTGGCCGTCTCGGGGGTAACAGCACCGGAGCTTCGCTCAGCTTTGCGCGGGCGAGGGTCAGGTCGGGCGGGGCGATGGCGTCCGCCACGGCCTCGTGCAGCAGCTCGGCGATACTGTTGCACTCTGCTGTGATGTCACACGTCAGGTCCCACAGCGGATTGCACCACTTCGCCGTGAAGGTGACCTCCACCGTCCGCCACGCGATGCCCACGTGGCTGGCCTCGAGCCACGCGACCTTCAAATTCAGCGACGTGAAAGCCCCAGCGGTGTAGAAACGGTAGCGCTGGATCTCGAGCAGTGGCCGCTCCGGGGCAGCGAATGCCAGCATGTCCCGTAGCGACTCTTGCCAGTGGCTCGGCAGCGCCATGATCATCCGCGCCTCTGGGGTGAGGAGCGTCTCGGAGGCGCCGTCGCCTTGCACGAAATTGCGCCTTGCGGAGCCGTTGACTGAAACGTCGGTCAAACCAATCCATTTCCACAGTACGTCGGCCAAATCCAGCGTGTTGTCTGTGATGGACGAGGCACTGGACGAGACGTTAGAAGCAGCTCCCATCATCCTGCCTGCGGCTCCGCCCACCTCCTCGGCCACGCCCGAGGCGAGGCTGACCGAGCGCGCAGCAGCGGGCCGACCCGCGCGGACCTCCGAGTTTTTCCCGGCGGAGCCGGGTGAAATTCCGTGCCCGCCGGTGACTGACTGACTCATTGACTGACTGATTGACTGACTGAACGTCAGGAGGGCACCTTGAACAACACATTTCAAACCGCCCGCGGGCGCGCGCAACCGCAACCGCAACTCGGCGAGACATGTCAACCCGCCCGCGGGCGCGCAACCGCAACCGCACTTGGACGACACAACTCAACCCGCCCGGGGGCGCGCAACCGCAACTGGGCGACACATTTTAACCCGCCTGTGGGCGCGCAACCGCAACCGCAACTGGGCGACACACTTCGACCCGCCCACGGGCGCGCAACCGCAACCGCAACTATGCGACACATTCCAACCTGCCCGCGGGCGCGCGACCGTAACCGCACCTGGGCGACACATTTCAACCCGCCCGCGGGCGCGCAAAGGCAACTACGCGACACGTTTCGACCCGCCCGCGGGCGCGCAACCGCAACCGCACCTGGGCGAAACATTTCGACCCGCCCGCGGGCGCGCAATCGCAACTGGGCGACGCATTTCAACCCGCCCGCGGGCGCGCAACCGCAATCGCAACTACGCGACACATTCCGACCCGAACGCGGGCGCGTGACCGAAACTGCAGTTGGGCGACACATTTCAACCCGCCCGCGGGCGCGCAACCGCAACCGCAATTGGGCGACACATTTCAAACCGCCCGCAGGCGCGCAACCGCAACCGCTACTGGGCGATACATTTCGTCCCGCCCGCGGGCGCGCAACAGCAACCGCAACTATGCGACACATTCCGACCCGAACGCGGGCGCGCGACCGCAACCGCATTTGGGCGACACATTTCGACCCACCCGCGGGCGCGCAAAGGCAACTACGCGACACATTTCGACCCGCCCGCGGGCGCGCAACCGCAACCGCAACTGGGCGACACATTTAAACCCGCCCGCGGGCGCGCAACAGCAACCGCAACTGGACGACACATTTCGAACCGCCCCCGGGCGCGCAACCGCAACTGGGCGACACATTTCGACCCGCCCGCGGGCGCGCAAAGGCAACCGCTGGGCGACACATTTCAACCCGCCCGCGGGCGCGCAACTGCAACCGCACCGGTCACCTGCCGTCCTCCTCCAGGGGATCTGAGGCGGAGGAAGGGTGGGAAGGAGGTGGGAGGGAGGGGGGAGGGAGGAGGGAGGCGGGAGGGAGGAGGAAGTAGGGGGGGGGGAGAGGGAGGGAGGGTAGAGAGCTCACAATGATTGGGGGCGGACAACTTCTGCCCCCCCCTTTCCACGCATGTGGATCTCCACAAGGCTCCAGAACCTGGGTTCCCTATCCAAGGCCTCCAAGGTCTGCTAGCGGGATGGGTGGGTTAACCGCCCCCGAGGGGGGAGACGAGGCTCTGACAGAAGCGGTCCGTTGCACCGCCTAATTTGAAGTTGAGGGGGCGATGCCGCGGGGATCAATCGCGTTCACCCGCGCGCAAGCTGCCCGCGGATGTACGCGCATCGGCGCCGTCTTACTCATGCAGGGTGCCGCGTCTTATGTATGATCTGGTGCAGGAGCAGGTGGAGGAGGAGGGGGAGGAGGAGGAGGAGGAGGAGGAGGAGGAGGTAAGGGAGGAGGAGCAGCAGCAGGGCGAGGAGGAGGAGGACCAGGATGGCCAGGTGGAGGAGGACGATGGGGAGGGGGATGCCAGGGTGGTGCTGCTTGAGAAAGTGCACGAGCAGGTGCTTCTTGCGGAGGACTGAGGAGGATGAGGTGGTGGACGCCAAGGAGGATGGAGGTGGATGTCCTCCTCGCGGCCTCCAGGCGTGACCCGCGGTTCTCCGCCGGGACATTGCAGCGGGGAATCCCTTTTCCACGCTGCTGCCTCTGATTATGTTTATGCCATTGTTTGTTCCCCTGGAGCAGCCGTTGTTGCACCAGCTCATGGCCGCGCGCGCCTTCCAAGCCCACGCACACGACGGGTGCTTCCGCCCTGCAGGATGCGTCGCCGCCGCCGGCACGGGCGGGGGGCCGCCCGACGGCGGCGCTCGGCGAGCTGGGCCAGCATCCTGGGTCTCGGCGACGCAGCCGCCGAGGCTGGTTCAAGTCGGGCGTGCCATTCTACAGGAGGAACAGTCCAAAACTAGTCGGGGGACGACTTTTTTGGTATGTTCGAAGATGTTTGGATGATTTGTTGGCTGCTTTTCATTATTCGTCCAAGATCCGCCCGTGGGGGGACATGCCCGACCTGCAGGTAGGAGGAGGCGTCGGACACGGGGGAAAGTACGCAGACGAGGGGGGCGAGCTGCCCGCCGGGATCCAGGAGCCGGGCCCTGGAGTCGATCCAAAAGGGGAAGGCGGTGGCGTAGCTGCGCGGGGGTCATCGACGTAGGGCTCACCCAGGGTCACCCAGGTGCCGTTCGGGAGACGCCTGGAGCCCTTCGGTGCCATCTAGCGCCCGCGCGGCGACCCACGCCCAGTTTTTTGCCGCCCAGTCGAGAGCAGGCCCCCAGCCCGCCGCCTTGAGCCCGACGGCTACGTGGGCGGCCTGGACCATGTCGATGTAGACTCGGGGATAGCTATCTACTTCCACCTGCCTGTCTCTCGAATTTGCTCGAACGACATCCCCCACGCACTGGCCTCCGAAGCGAAACTCGCTCAGGCACCGGGGGGGGTCCAACCCATCTGCAACTGGCTCTCACTCTGGACCTGGGCGAGATGCTTTCGGTACTGCTCCAGGGTGTACGGGAAAGGCGGCCACCAGGGGCCGTGCGAGCCTTGAGGGGCCCCAGGGTGTTCACCAAGACGAGGTTGTCTGACTCCAGGATCGAGTTCGATTGGGGCCTTGTCGCCCTGGCGTTCGCTTGGCCCACGATGCGAAGCCCTCGCCCACGGACATACCCAGACATGTCAGGAAATATGAGATCCGACGTGATGATACCCAGCATCCCGCTTCGGCGTGTGCCCGCTTCTCCCTGCAGCAGCACACCGATGCCAAGTCTTGGCAGTGCTCGCCCATTGAAGCGCACACCGATGAGAGCCCGAGCGGTGCTCACCATCGGCACGGCATGCTTCGTCTGGCGTGGCCGCTCCCCGCCACGTAGGGCCGCGCGGCAGCTGCAAAGGCGGCCCTTCGGCCGCGAAAATCTGACTTCAACGGCAGCGAGGAGGCTCATGAAGTGGCTCTTGAGGAGGTCGGTGGTAGCTTTGTGCTCCATCAGGGTGTCATCCCACTCGTCAGGGGTCCAAGGGGACGCGCCCTCCGCCGAGCACCACTCGTAGAACTCGGCCGCTCGCTGTTGGTAGGTCAGTAAGGTAAATGGCTGCACTCGGCCCTCCAGGTGCGGGTCCTCCAGGACCCTCGGGCTGTCTATCGTCAGTTTTGGATGGTGCGCTCTTCGCGCACCGTTGCTTCCAGCACTGGGGCGCCGTGCCCCTCTTGATCTGAACCACATCCTCTTTCGCGCGCGAGAGGCCATCCGCAGGCATCCTCTCTGTCTCTTCTCAGGGGAGGCACATCCTTATCTCCGATGCACTGGGTCACCGCGCACCTCCTCACTCAGAATCTAGTTGACTGGCCCGGCTGTGGATCGACCCTTCGCCGCGGCGCTGGCGAAAGCCACGCGGTCCTCCAGGCCTAGCACCTTCTGGCGGTGAGCCGACGGGATGGTCGCCAGTCGCGCCCAGGACTCGCAGGGCCGCGCGGTCCTCGCCCTATGCGATGCGGTCCTCCCACTTCCAGCGGCACGACTCCACTCACGAGGGGAAAGAAGACACAGGCACAATTAATCGTCGATTCCAAGGAACGTATGGGAAACTATTGGATGTGGGTGGGAAGACGAAAACCCAGAAAATATGGAAAAAGATGATGGATCCTGGGAATTGTGTGTATTTATTAGTGTGTCCCTGGGCCCCTTTATCCACAGGCACCCACTTCGCCTCACTGTCGATCCAGCCTCTAGCGTTAAGTCGGGCATGTCCCTCTACAGGAGGAGTATTCATAAATAGTCCACATATAGTCTGGGGACGACTTGTTGATTATTGCTTGACCGTTTTTGATTTTTTTGTTTTTGCAACTTTCGATTTTTCACACAATCCGCCTGTAGGGGGACATGCCCGACCTAACTCTAGCGAAGGTGCTCACGGGCAAGTGCGGCTCCAGGGACGTCGGCCCACGGCCCAGCACCTTTTATGCAGCCGGCCCGGTTCGGCGTTTTGCCGTGTTTGGCCTCGTGCCCGAGCGCCAGAGATCCTCCGTCAGCTTCTGGTCGGCCTCCGCCACGACCGCGCCGAAGCCCCCCGCATCGAAGTCCTGGGGCCCCTCCGCGTCGGGCGCGGACAGCAGCGGCATCCGCCGGGCCCCCAGGCCGGCGTAGAGACGTCGGGCACGTCCCTCTACAGGGGGAATGTTCAGACATAGTCAAGAAGGGGACGATGTTTGGATTATCTTTTGACCATTTGGGGGTATTTTTTTATATTTTCTATTTTTCGCCCAAAATCCCCCTGTAGGGGGACACGCCCGACCCAAGCGTAGAGGCCCATGACCGCCCCCTTCCTAGAGATCGCTGCCCGCCGCGCGGAGGGCCACCACCGTCTCCTCCAGCGGCGGCCCTCCCAGCGCGTGGCCCGGAAGATGTGCGGCGGCGCGTGTCCCGCGCCTGGCCAGCAGCGTGGCCCAGGTCCAGACGCCCATGGCCGATCACTAACCCAAAGCAGGCGCCCCATCCCAAAAGCGCGAGGGCCAAGACAGAACGCAGGCTCCTCGAGACTTCGGGGAGGGAGATTTGGGGGCTGAGGGTTTCACCAGGGTGGCAACGACGAACGCAAAACATACCCCGAGATCGTTGGCCGATCTTCGAATCCTCGGTGAATCCTCGATTTTGGGGTTGGGGATGTGTTTTTTCTTGGTCAACCGATGCCAGGTAGTCCAGGTGCACCCAAGCCCTCGTCGCAATCACCTCCAGCGCCTCGTGCAGTAGCACCGCCTTCCTCCTCGGTGCTCGCACCCGAGCTGGACTGGCCTCGACCTCGTAGCCCACGGTGCGGTCGACCAGGCCGTGCTCCCTCCGGTCCTTCACGACGAAGCCCACGTCCTCCAGCGCGTCCGCCATTTGGTGGACCAGCTTGTTGACCTTCGCCTCCCCAGAGCCATTGGAGCCCCCGTCCGCGGAGATCAGGCCGTCGTCGATGTGAAGGTAGAAACCTGTGTCGGTCGGGCCCAGCACTGCCCCTCGCTCTCGCGAGGAGGCCTCGTCGAGGAAGAGAAAGTCGCCCTTGTCCAGCTTCTCCGAGAAACGTGAGATCCTCGGGCAGCGCCTGTTCGATCTCCGATGGCCCGTCGGGCCCACTCCTGTCTCCGCCGTGTAGGCCAGCGTCGCCGCGATGCCCTCCGCCATCCACCTGCACAAAGCGGGCGGAAAGGTGGTCAGCTTGGTCGTCCAGAGGACCCCGTTGACCTTGCCGTAGTTCAGCTCGTGCGAGTGGGCGCCGTCGCACCTGCGCGCGCTGGCCTCAGCCCCATGACCGAGACTGTGACCCTCATAGGCTTCTGAGAAGCCCCGCCCATCGTGCGCATTTCGAAAGAGATCCGCCGAGCTCCTGTCCTCGCCTCCAGGCTCTTCAGGATGCCCGTGTCGAATATGGATGGGTACGGCGCCTCCTCGGGGTCCTCAGGATGCTCCAGCGTCCAGGCGCCTCCGCGGCATGCCACGCCGCTGCACAGCGTCAGGTGGTTCAGAATCGGGTGGTTGCCCTCGTCTGGCCGAGCTGTCTCGGCCGTCGTCAGCCGCTCCCTAGGGAGCCCCCGGCAGTATTTGCCACGTCGTCGCTGAGGTCGGGGGCCTCCTGGCCTGAACCTCGCCCTGCTCCAGGTCGAGCATGGAGGTCCGCCGAAGATCACGTCCACCAGGCCTTCCTCCGCCAGTGCCCACAGCTGCTCGAACGAGTCGACCCGGCTCAGGTCCCACCTGGAGTCCTCCGCCAAGTCCACGGACATCATGAACAGCTCGAGGCCCCGCTCCTGCATGTCCAGCTCCAGGTAGTGCTGCACGTCATCGGCCCGCCGCATGGCCCGCGAACACGTGCATCACCACAAGCACTCGACGTTCACTCAGCCGGGCACGTCGCACAGCCTCGCACCACCCTGCCACCGAAAAGCCGCTGGCGGGCGGAAGACGCCCGCGCCGTCCTGCCACCGAAAAGCCGCTGGCGGGCGGAAGACGCCCGCGCCGTAGCTGCTGCTGCTCGTGCCTGTCCCCGTCGGAAAGCATCTTGAAGGATCGCCACTTCAGTAGCTGCTCTCGGCTCTGATCTACCTGCGGCCTGGTCAGTGTCATCGAGCAGATCCTTCAGTCGATGGTCATCCGAACATGTACGCTGTGGGAGTTGCCCATCCCCAAGCGTCGCCATACAGGGCAGACCCAGGCCTCTGGGTCCAGCGAGGCCCGCTGGACCCTCGAGAGCCGCGCCCACACGGCCCGAGCGCGGGTGGGCGGCTCACGGTGCCAACCCCGCATCCGCCTCGGCACCTCCACGAGCGAGAAGGCGTTACTCTCGTCGAAGGCCGACGCCACCCGGTGATGCGACGGGGCGTGGAGGCGGCCCAAACCTCCGCCGCCGTGCAGCCCGTGCTCGGACCGCTCCCTCACGTCTCGGAACATCTAGCTCGCCGCCACCGTCATGATGATCTTCCTCTGCCGATCGCCCGACTTCTTGCCTGCCGTGCTGCAGCCTGCGATCGCCTTCGCCTCCTCCAGGCCACCGAAGTGCCACAGGTTGGGTGACAGGTCCTCACGGCCCAGGTACCGCTCGCACTCCAGCTGGGCCCCGCCCACGAAGCCAAACTTCTCCTGCAGCTCCTCAAACAGCACCCGGCCCCTGAGGTCGTCGCGTTCCATTACGTTCTCCTCCAGGCTGTAGTACTGTGCCTCCTCCGGACTGAGCGCGTCGAGCCTCTGGACACACTTAATCACACTCGGCTCGTCAACCGACGCCGCTCTCAGGGCTTCGTTGCTCGACAGACGGATCGGCTTGCCATTGCCCACCTCTTCCACACGAGCTAGCTCCAACACCGCTTGGACGCCAGTCAGACCAAGATCTCGGCGCGCCTCTGCCAGTCGTTTCGCTTCTCGTAAAGCCACCCGATGTATTTGGTCTTGCAGACCCCGCACCTCGTCCGATAAGTCACTCATGTGGCGGGATCGGGTGAGGTCCTTGCACGAGCCCGTGTCCGTGGAGTTGATCCCACGCACGTAATCGTTCGCGAGAACCCAGACGGCGAGCTTCCGCTTGTAACGATGGCGTAGCCTGCTGGAGCGGCTGGACGCCTGTCGAGGCTTGCACACCGGCGTGATCAGCAGCAGCGCCTCCTGTCCTGGCCTCGCCGAGATCACCTGCTTCAGCGTTGGGCTCGAGTCGTCACGCATCCCAGGAACCCACACTGCTTCGCTCCGCACCTCGCCCGCTGGCCCGACGAGGTGCGCGGCCTGATCCTGGGCCGACGCTGACGGGGCACCGCCGTCCCGACCAGCCTTGTCATTCTTGCCCTTGTCGGCGCCACGTCGGCCGACCCGCCAGGCGGCGCGACGCCCAACATGTGATGAGCGCCGGCGCGGTCGCCACTCCTCTGCTCATACACGCACGCCGCCAGACGGCGGAGGGAAGTCTCCATCATGTCATCGCCTGCCAGCAGCTGCATGAGCTCCACACCGCTCTTGCAGTCACGCAGACGGAAGTCGATCGACGTGGCGAGGGTCCACAGATCGACCCACTCTGGGCTCGAGCGACTGCCCTGACATCGCTGGGCGATCCAGTCAGGCACACTCGTCGATCCTTCACCTCGAATCGCTCGATTGATCTCTGGGCCAGCGCGCTGGAGGTCCGCAGGCAACGACGGGCCCCACCTGGTCTCCTCCGCGCCGCCCTGGGCCGCGGCTAGACTCGGCACCGCGCCTCCAGACCAAGGCCCTCCTGCGGTGGAGAGGGCGGCCTGGGCCGCGAGCGGCTCAAGCGCCGCCGCCATCTCCTCCTTCCGCGGCGCCGTCATCGTCTGCTCGCCCACGTAGCCGAAACCCATCAGCAGTCGCTTCACCTCTGCGTGCAGCTGGCCTTCGGCTTCGATGGCCCGCACACTCATCCAGAACCTCCGACCCACTGGAAGTCGGTGGCCTTCGCCGCCCCGAAAGCCTCCAGCAGCTCCTTGACCTCCAGGGCCTGCGCCTTCACGGCCCCGCCCTGCACCGCGGCCGCTGGGCCGCCAGCCTGGGCCCCTGCAGCCGCTGGGCCGCCATCGGGCAGACCGCCGCCCATGGCGCTGGGGACGCCCGCCGAAGCTCCGAGGTCGCCCAGAAGCGAGGCGCCTGGCGGGGCCGTCGGCGCAGCGGGCGGGGCGAAGGCTCCTCCGAAAGGGCCCGCCGTGCCGCCAGGGAAGGCGGGGCCCGTCACGCCCGGCATCATCGGTATCCCCGGCGGCAGCGGCCCGATCGGGCTGGCTCCCCCCTCTCCGTCTCCGCCAGGTCCCGCGTCGTCTGGAGGAGCCCAGCCCGCGCCGCCGCTCAGTGTCATCTGCTGGAGCTGAGTCACCAACATGCTGGTGTGCTCCGCCTCCGCCCGCTGGTCTAAGCAGATGAGCCAGCACTGGCGGAGCACATGCCACAGGCGCGGCGCGCCGAGCACCGGGCCAAGCGACGACCCGGCGAGGCGGTGGCGGCGCGTCGCCGCCATCTGCGCCAGCACTGCAGAGACGACGGCCACGGCCAGGCAGCAGCTCCACCCGAGAGCTCGCCATCGGCAGCCCTGCGCAGCGGGGGCCGGAGGCAGCGCGGGGAGGGGGGGCGTCGCCTCGGCCGGGGAGGGCGACGCCGCCGCGCTTTCGACCGTCATCCCTGGGCGTGCGCTGAGTGGTCTGCGCGGAGCCTGCAGGCAGGACCGCGCGGGCAGAGACTAGAGTTCAGTCGGGCACGTCCCTCTACAGGGGGAGTACTCAAAAATAGTGAAGAAAATACTATGGGGACGATTTTTCTAGTATGTTTGACTATGTTTGAATATGTTTGGACTGTTTTCAACTTTTCGTCCAAAATCCGCCTGTAGGGGGACATGCCCGACCTAAGACCAGAGGTCACCCACAGATGGCCACCTCTGAAGTTGCTTCAGTGGATCAAGTGTGCCGTTGAGCTAACATTTTCTGGAGCTGCAGCACATCCCTCCCCTGGGCCCCTTCGCGGACTTAACTGAAAGTCAACGTGCACAGACCCACCCACCCATACATACATACATAGTGCGTTCTGTGGTCGCTTGGAGGGGGGGGGGTTGGACCCCCCCCCCTGGATGGAGGGGGGGGTTCGAACCCCCCCCCCTTTCCCTCCCTCTCCTCTCTCCTCGGGCCGGCGCTTGCGTCGGCGGCGGCTGGCGGCGGGGACGACGATTTCCTTTTCTGGGCCGGCGCCGGCGCCTGCGGTGGCGGGCGGAGGCGGCGGGGAGCGTCGACGAGGACAACGGTGGTGGTGGTGGTTGTGGTGGTGGGTGGTGGTGGTGGTGGTTTGGTGGTGGAGGTTGTGGTGGTGGTGGTGTGGTGGTCTCTTGTGGTGGTGGTGGTGGTTGTGGTGGTGGTGGTGGTGGTGGTGGTGGTGGTGGTGGTGTGGTGGTGGGTGGTGGTGGTGGTGGTGGTGGTGTGGTGGTGGGTTGTGTGGTGGTGGTGGTTTGGTGGTGGTGTGGTGGTGGTTTGTGGTGGTGGTGGTGGTGGTTGTGGTGGTGGCTGGTGCTGGTGGTGGTGGGTGGTGGCGGTGGTGGTGGTGGTGTGGTGGTTTGTGGGTGGTGGTGGGTTGTGCTGCTGGTAGTGGTGGTGGTTGTGGCGGTGGTGGTGGTAGTATGGTAGATTGTGGTGGTGGTGGTAGTGGTGGTGGGTTTTTGTGGTGGTGGTGGTGATGGTGAGTTGTGGTGGTGGTGGTTGTGGTGGTGTGGTGGTGGTGTGGCGGTGGTTTGTGGTGGTGGTGGTGGGTTGTGGTGGTGGCGTGGGTTGTGCTCCTGGTAGTGGTGGTGGTTGTGGCGGTGGTGCTGGTGGTGTGATGGATTCTGGTGGTGGTGGTGGAAGTGGTGGTGGGTTTTTGTGGTGGCGGTGGTGGTGGTGGTGATGGTGAGTTGTGGCGGTGGTGGTGGTGGTTGTGGTGGTGATGGCTGTGGTGGTGGTGATGGTTGCGTGGTGGTTGGTGGTGGTGGTGGTGGTGGGGTGAGGCGGTGGTGGCGGGGTGGTGGTAGTGGTGGTGGTAGTGGTGGTAATCGTCGCTGCGTCCCCGCCGTCGCAGGCGCCAGCGCCGGCGCTGCCTGGCCGCCGCCAGCGCCGGCGCCGGCGCCGGGGGGGGGGTGGTGGGGGGGGTTGAAACCCCTCCCCCCCCCCCTCTCGGGCTGTCTCTGGTCATCGTCGCTGCGTCCCCGCCGTCGGTGCTGCTGGCGACCGCCAGCGCCGGCGCCAGCGCCGAGGGGGGGGGCGTTCGGGAGGGGGGGGGCTTGGGGGGGAGGGGAGCCCCCCTGGTTTTGATCGACGTCGCCGAGTGTTGGGGGGGGGGATACCCCCGGGTTTCAAACGCGCCGCCGAATGTTCCCAAGGCAAGCGGCCGTGAAACGCGTTCTTTCATACATACACACATGCATACATACATGCATACATACATGCATGCAAACATACATGCATACATACGTACATACATACATACGTACATACATACATGTTTACATCTACATACATGCATGCACGGGCTGGTCCGTTATGTGGGTGTACAAACACACATCTATTTGTAAAACACAAATGTGTATACACAGATTCCATGGTCGGCCCGTCCGTTGGGATTACCGGTGGCGCGTCGAAGTCCGAGCGAATCCGCGTTGGGACCCAGAAATCGTCCACGCTGATGCGACGCGTGTGCGTGATATTATCTTTCAGAGATGACAGCTCCAGTAGCTGACAGTTGCCGCATCTCTAGCTGACTTCGAGTGGGCACGCGTGGAATGGGGCTGAGGCATTCGCTGACATGCGGGAAGCGCACCATCCTAGAACGGGCGCGCATGGAAAGGGGAGTCAGGCATTAGCTGCTATGCGGGGAGCGCACCATCCTCGAGCGGGCACGCACGGAATGAGGGTTCAGGCATTAGCTGCCATGCGGGAAGTGCGCCATCAGGGAGCGGGCACGCATGGAAGGGAAAAAGGGTCAGGCATTAGCTGTCACGCGGGAAGTACACCCTCCTGGAACGGGCACGCGTGTAAGGGGTGTTCAGGCATCAGCTGCTACGCGGGGAGTGCGCCATCCTCGAGCGGGCAAGCGTGGAAGGGGGAGTTATGCAGTAGCTGCCATGCGGGAAGTGCACCATCCCCGAGCGGACGCGATGGAAGTTGCCTCGTTGAGCAGGTTGGATGCACGCAAGAGTCTTCTGGTAGAGGGGGGGGGCCTTACCAGATTTGAACACCCCTACCAGGCAGCCCTTGGCATTCTTCCACCCCTCAACGTGCCAGGGGTCGTGGCGGAGTACAGCGACGGCCAAAATGCCAATATTCACAAACATCCGCATACACTTGTGTGTATGTTTATACACTTATGTACATGTATATTGTACGTCCATGTATCGATCCATAGATATATTGATACGTGTACATGTTAGATAGGTGTATATATATGTATTAATGTGTTTGTCGTGTAAGTGCATGTGTATATGTATGTGGGCATGTATCTGTATATGTATATGCGTCCGTATATGTATATGCGTTCCTTTATCTTGGGATATGGGAGTCCTGCGAAGTCATCTCTCACGTGACGTTTCGTGCCTAAGCATGTAGCCACCGATGTCAGTGGTTGTTTTCGCAGTTCTTTCCAGGTGCAGTCAAGCGTATAATCTTAGGGCCACTGAGGGTCAGAGGCGATTCATGTTTGAAGTTAACCTTATCGCTCTGTCTTGTTTTGTACAAATGCCCACTTCTGACTTTCCTGGCCTCTGCCTTAACCTCGTCCTCTCTGTCTCTTCCTCTCTTCTCTCTCCAGCCACTTCTTGCTTCCCCGAGCCCTTCCTTTCGACACTTCTTTTTGGCCTCCCGCCACTGCCTCTCGCCACGTTTTTCTCCGACGCCCTCATAAGGTTTGCGCATCCCCTACTTGACTTCGAATGTGCCGCTCCCTGATCCATACCGCAGTGTACTCGACGGCCTCTTGCCCAGCTGCAACCCGGATGTGGAATGTTCCATCAAGCAGTTTGACGGGGTGCGATGACGGGTGCATCCGGGGTCGGACCCAGAGGTATGACCTGGGGGTTTGCAGCTTCGGTGACTCATCGAGTGTGAGTGCCGAGGCGTGCTTTAAGTCAACGCTCAGAATCCAGGCGACGGCTGGCAGATCTGTGACTGCTAAAACGCAGCTCTGGGAAATTGATTTTTCTTTCGGGAAGCAGCCCGTTTTTTATCTGGCGCGCTGAATTTGATTCCGGGAGTGTGTTTGTTTCTTCGGGGAAACCGTTTTTGCAGCCATGGATTTGCCAGCTTTCGCCCAGCTTCCGAATCGCGCCGCCCTGTTTAGTGCGCTCCTCGCAGAGGGGCTTCAAAGTGGAAAACGGCAAAACATGTTCGAGGAGGGGGCCAGATAACGGAGATAAAACGACCGTTAGCGGGATCATTGCGCGCCCGCTGTCCACCCCCCCGCAGAAATCTAAGACACGCCCAGACAGCCCAAGACGACTCCAGTAGCCTCCAGGAGGACCCCGACAGACCCCTGAGAGGCCCCCAGGATGCCCCAGGATAGCCCAACACGGCCCCAACAGCCCCCATGGTAGCCTCAAAAGATCATGAGGACCCCGCGCCTTCTTCAAAGTCCTTTTCTCGGGCTTCTTCCTGTTCTCCTTCGTCGTCGTCCTCCTTCTTCTCCTCCGCTTTGTTCTTCCTCGCGCTCGTCCTCCTCCACCTCTTCCTCCTCGTCCTTGTGCTTGACTTCCTAATCGTTGTCCTTCTGCTCCCCTCGCTACCATCTCCGTCACCCATGCTGTCATCCTCATCATCCGCAACCTTGTCGTCGCCATCATCCTTCTCTTCTTTCGCCCCCATACGAGCCCAATGGACAACATCGGCGCTTTCCGTTCTTGTCCGAACAGGCTCGGGCACACGTAGGCGATGCATGGCGGTCGCAGCAGGGATAGGGAATGCATCACCAGTACAGCTTGCATCACCTGGCGCCGATCGCAACCAATCACAATTCACATGCAACGCGCCCGGAATCTGACACGATCTTTGTGGATCCCCGTCGTTTGGTGGATCTGCCAACCGACTGATATGTATTGTTGTTGTCCCCCGCGCCCGCGTCACAGACCCACGGATCTCCAATCCATGTAAGCGCCCGCTTGGGAGGAGGCACATGGTGATGATATTGGTGGTGGTGATGGTGAGGAGGATGAGGACGAGGATGAGGAGGACGAGGAGGAGCGAGGAGGAGGAGGAGGAAGGGGAGGAGGAAGGGATGGGAGCGGAGGAGGTGGGGGAAAGGGTGGACGAGGAGGGGGGAGGAGGCGAGGGAGGGAGATGGAGATAGAGATGGAGATGGAGATGGAGGTGGAGATGATTACGATGATGATGGTGCCGATGCTGATGCTGATGATGATGTTGATGCTGATGCTGATGCTAATGATGATGCTGATGACGATGAGATCATGATGATGCTGCTGATGATGCGGATGATGCTGCTGATGATGGTGGTGGC